AGCCAGAACATTGCCTAAAAAGCCTCACATGAAACGTGTGAACGGCTTCAGGCAGTTTTCGTTAGGGCAAGGAATGGACGGCGCGCAGTAGTATTCGACTCATTTTGCGATTTCATTTGCTGGAGGCGAAATGCGACCTGTGGGGCTGTGTAGAGGATGGGAGGGAAAGGAGACGGGAACAGGAGTAAGGAGGAAGGAGGAGGGGAACAGGAGGAGGATTAGAAGGGAGGAAGTATTGTAAAGTGATGTTGTTTGTATTTATTGTTATCATTATTGTGAATTATTGTCATTGTTGTTTGTAAATTAATATCATTGGTTTTTATTGTATTATGTTATTATTACTGTTATTGTTTAATTAATGTTAATTTTGTTAATGTGTCTTTTGTTTGTATTGTTATTATTATTCTTTTTATTAATTCTTTTTATTATTATTTATTTATTATTATTATTATTATTATTATTATTATTATTATTATTATTATCATTACATTATTACCATTATATTATTGTTGTTGTTGTCTTGTTTTTTTTGTATTATTTATTACATTGTGACTGTTATATTATAATTGTTATAAATATTCAGTATCATAATTTTTTTCTATTATATTTTATTTTTATTATTATTGTTAATGTTGTTGTTTATTATTATTGTTATTATTATTTATTATTTTTATTATTATTTATTATTATTATTATTGATATTGTTATTTTTATTGTTATTATTGTTAATATTACATTGTTGTTATCTTGATTCTTTTTATCATTGTTATTATTAGTATTATTATTAGTAGAAATAGTAGGAACATTTGCAGTACCAGTTGTAGTATCATTGTTATTATCTTATTATCATAATCATCATTTTTTCTCTTATTATATTATTGTTACCATTGTCATTATTTCTTTGTTAGTTATTATTATAGGTATAGTTGTTTGTTATTGCTTTTTATTTTTGCTGTTATTATCATCATATTTTGATTATCATTATATTGTATTATATGTTATTATTATTATTATTATTATATTATTATTATTATATTATTATTATTATTATTATTGTATTGTTGTTAGTGTTACTATAATTATTGTTATTATTATTGTTGTTGTTGTTAATGTTGTTATTGATATTGTGAATTGGTATTTTTTATTGTTATTAGTATTAGACTATTACTATTATTACTACTACTACTACTTCTACTACTTGTATTACTATTACTAATACTACTAGTACAACTGCTAGTACTACTATTATTACTACTACTACTACTACTACTACTACTACTACTACTACAACGCTACTACTATTACTACTACTACTACAACAACAACAACAACAACAACAACTACTACTACTACTACTACTAGTTGTAATACTACTACTAGTAGTACTGACTACTAGTACTACAACTAGTACTACTTTTACTGCTACTACTACTAGTACTACTTATCATTGTTATTGTTATTATTGTTAGTATTACTATTAGTATTGGTGTTAATATTGTTAGTATTATTATTGTTGTTGTTATTATTGTTAGTATTGTCATTTTATTATTCTTATTATTATTATTATATTAGTAGTAGTAGTAGTAGTATTTTTATTAGTAGCAATATTCTTATTGTTGTTGTTTATTTTATTATTGTTATTGTTATTATTATTGTTGTTGTTGTTATTAACATTATTCTTTTTATTATTAGTATTTTATTATTATCATTATGATTATTATTATTATTGTTAATATTATTATTATTGGTACTGGTATTGGTAACCGTTTATTGTGATTATTGTTATTTTCATTTTTATTTTTATGGTGATTATTATTGTTGTTGTCCAATTATTATTATTATTATTATTATTATTATTATTATTATTATTATTATTGTTATTGTTATTGTTTTTGTTGTTAATGCCATTTTTATTGTTATTATGATTATTACTATTATTATAACTTTTATAATGATAATGATTATTTTTAATGTTAGTATTACCACCACCACCACCAAAGATTATTATTTTTTTGTTACTTATTATTATCAACAAACGTCTTTTGGTGTGATGCTATTACTATCTAATGGCAAACAAAATTACTGTAAGCATAATTTTGTGCATGGATTATGCGTTGAGATCATTAGTTTTTTTTTATTCATTAAGCCAATGAATGTATGGTTTTGAATTTGGATCGTTTTTAAAATATTTTCCCATCCACAGCCGATTCAGACTAATTCACATATGTATTTATTTAAGTAGATCTATCTTCGGTGAATAAGTAAATGGCTTCCGTCAGTACTTTTGTGTATATTTTAAGTGATAGCGAGGTCAGAGGGTGATTTGGGAAAGCCAAACGGACTTTTTGAATCAGAATATTAACTCCTGAGTTTGATAGAACAGATGTTATGCTTAAGAAGAGGGGTGATTTGGTTGTTTAATGGGGTTTCATATGGGAATAGAGTCGACTGTATGTAATGAATTTTTTGTTTTTTGGTATGCTCTAACAAGTGGTATGATATAGTTGTAATTAATTGATATTATTGTTTAAATAGTTTGATATATTGTGACATGTTCAGGCATTATAGTTGTGTTGCTGTTTTTTCGTGGTGTGTCTGTTATTACTGTTGTTGTTTTTGAGGAATTGATTATAAGCTTTACAAGGCTTCTATCTAAACATTCTTTATATCCTAATATTTAAAGGGACCCATTAATTGAAAAGTTAGAGTTTGAGAAAATAGGAACTGTTTGAGAGAATATAACATTATAGGATTAGTAACATTATATATACAGGGTTAAAGATGATTAGTATGTTTGAAGTGGAAAAGGCTCCTGTTATGATAAGAACAACATCGGATGGGGAAAAGGCAAATTAGAAATAAAAGGGAAGAGAAAAGAACTGAATTATCGCAAGAAGCAGAGGAGATCAGAAGGAAGGGACAATATGATTTTGTGTGCGTGTGTTTGCCACACTCCGAGGAAGAGAGAGAATTGCCTCAGGAAATTAGCTGTCGGGCGGGACCAAAGGCATTTCAGTGAGGATAAGTGAAATTGGTTTCTTTGAGAGTCTCAAGTGTGACTGTATGAGTTTATAAATGAAGATGCTGAAAGGTTATATATACTCTTGATGGTTTTGATTTGTTTTGTCCATCTTGAAAATAGAAAGGACAAAAAGAGGGAAATCAGTTTGGGGGAAACTGGAGATCAAGCCTAAAATGTTACTCGAAATATAACTTGGTTTTGATTTTTTGAAGTCTTTGTAATGGTAGGTTAGTAGGTTTGTTTATAACCAAACTGGAAGAATGTACCCAGATCTATGTTGATTTTGGTTGCAAAATAGTTTACGTATCCTGTTAATAAGAGAAGAAGAAATGGAAAAATGGCTGATGATTACTATTTGCTTAACAGATACATGTGTTTCTAGACATCATCTACAAAATGGAACATGGAAGGAACAATTTTATATTCTCCGTGTGAATATTGATGGTGGTGTGGAGTGCATAATGTGCTGTGAAAACAAATGTCCAGCAATTAGTAATGCTTAATATTTACAGGCCATAGGGGTTTGTCAAATTATGTGGTTTATATATTCAGTTGAATAATTTTGCCTAATATAGCATCAACTCATGAATATATATATGTATTTTTTAATCCACCAATATAATCCTTTTATTTATGGATTTTTTCTGTTTTCATTGCTCTGAAAATCTGTTACCAAACCACGTATCCAACCAGATCCTGTGATATGTAAGACTTAGGGCACGGATGGAGGGAACATGAGCAGGCATAGGAGTAGGTATTCTAAGGATTAATTTTAGAGCAGCAGATGATTAAGCAGATTCCTTAACGCTGTTAAACGCTGTTCTGCTGTGGGTTACTGATTTGTACAGATCTCTATCCGTCTATCTCTCTCTTCTCTCTCTCTCTCTCTCTCTCTCCTCTCCTCTCTCTCTCTCTCTCTCTCTCTCTCTCTTCCTCTCTCTCTCTCTCTCTTCTCTCTCTCTCTCTCTCTCTCTCTCTCTCTCTCTCTCTCTCTCTCTCTCTCTCTCTCTCTCTCTCTCTCTCTCTCTCTCTCTCTCTCTCTCTCTCTCTCTCTCTCTCTCTCTCTCTCTCTCTCTCTCCTTCTCCCTCTCTCCCTCTCCTTCTCTCTCTCCTTTCCTCTCTCCCTCCCTCCTCCCTCCCTCCCTCCCTCCCTCCCTCCCTCTCTCTCTCTCTCTCTCTCTCTCTCTCTCTCTCTCTCTCTCTTCTCTCTCTCTCTCTCTCTCTCTCTCCTCTCTCTCTCTCTCTCTCTCTCTCTCTCTCCCTCTCCCTCTCCTTCTCATCTCCCTTTCCCTCTCCCCCTCCCTCCCTCCCCTCCCTCTCCTCCCTCTCCTCCCTCCTCTCCCTCTCCCTCTCTCTCTCTCTCTCTCTCTCTCTCTCTCTCTCTCTCTCTCTCTCTCTCTCTCTCTCTCTCTCTCTCTCTCTCTCTCTCTCCTCTCTCTCTCTCTCTCTCTCTCTCTCTCTCTCCCTCTCCCTCTCCCTCTCCCCTCTCCCTCTCTCCCCTCTCTCCCTCTCTCCCTCCTCTCTCCTCTCTCTCTCTCTCTCTCTCTCTCTCTCTCTCTCTCTCTCTCTCTCTCTCTCTCTCTCTCTCTCTCTTCTCTCCTCTCTCTCTCCTCTCCCTCTCCCTCTCTCCCTCTCTCTCTCTCCCTCTCTCTCTCTCTCCCCTCCCTCTCCCTCTCTCCCTCTCTCTCCCTCTCCCTCTCTCCCCCTCTCTCTCCCCCTCCTCTCTCCTCTCTCTCTCTCTCTCTCTCTCTCTCTCTCTCTCTCTCTCCTCTCTCTCTCTCTCTCTCTCTCTCTCTCTCTCTCTCTCTCTCTCTTCCATTCCCATTTTTCACTTCTGTTTATCCACCTGCAAAGAGTCCCAAGAGAAACAAGGCAAGAAAAAGACGTGAAGGAAGGGAAGAGCAACAGATTAATGACCAAGAGGCTGAAGAGCATATTCCAGGCCGATGCAAGTAGGCCATTAGCTCGAGATCTACTGGCCTTAAAGTGGTGTTCTGGAAGCTTGGCTGTGTTAAGTGGCTTCCTTCTCCCTTTTTTTCTCTTAACTTTTAGTCTTTTTCACCTCTCTGTCTTTATCTTTTCTTTCTGGTATTCTGTCTTTCTGTTTCCCTGGCTGTCTGACTCTTTAGTTTGCTTTTTCTCTCTCTCTCTCTATCTATCTATCTATCTATCTATCTATCTATCTCCCCCCCCCTTCCCCTCCTACCTCCACATTAGCAATAAGAGATTCCTTTTTTCCCTGTCTCACATTTATGTCATTCACTTAACCATTATCAACTCCAATCATTAACCTTACTCCCTCCTCCTTGCAGATTTACTCAGTAAGGGTTGAAGCGAGCGGCGAGGGCGAGCCCCTGCAGGACGAGTGCCAGGAACCCCCACCCGGTCGGGACCGAGGGCAGCAACAGCACAGGCAGAGGTCTCATGCCCACACCAAGGAGGAGAATGCGGTAGAGGCCAATATGGACGGTGGAGAGGTGAGCAGGGGGATGGGAGTGAGGGAGAGCTGGTTGATGTAAAAGGGTCGTCATGCATGAGCAGTTTAGAGAAGCGGGAGTGAGAAAGCCAAAGGGAAAAGTAAGAGAGAAGAGACAAGGATGGGGAAAGACCCAGATACAGGGAAATGAGAGAGAGAGAGAGAGAGAGAGTGTGTTTGTATGTGTGTGTGCGCACGCACGCGCATATGTTTGTGATTGTGAAAATTGAATGATAATTGTATCATACACTTACTCAGTTCTGTTACAATATTATTTTATGATGAGTTTCGTGAGATATGATAGATAGATAACATGTGAAAATAATGTTTTTTGAAGTGGAGAACAAATGGTGTAGAAGATGCACATGGTATTGATAATGATTTCAATCTACAGAAGAAGCCGAGTGGAAGATGGAAGGTAGAGGAGCTGAAGAGGGAGAATGAGGAGGTGAAATCAAGACTATCCTCCTTGCAGCAAGAGTTTTCCATGTAAGTGGGTTTACTGGGTGTATGTGTGTGTAAAATAGACTTAGTATACATAGAGAAAAATATATTTGTAATATTAACTTGATTGTCTTATATATCTGAATGAGAATGTTAAAAAAAATAAGGAAAATATGTTTTTGGTAAACTGGAAAACTTCCTGCTTCAGAAACATGTCCTAGGCATGCTTATTGCCCTTAGAATTTTTAGGGTTGGCTCGACTCCATCAAAGTGGCCACTGAAATTTTTTTTTTTTGTCAAAAAGAGTTAAGGGATTGTATTTTATTGACATGTGAAACATTGGGATGATTCTTAGGTTTTAGGCATTTATCCACAATTTGAAACGCTATTTGAGTAATTCCCAATGGAATAGGTTTATACAAGATTGATTTTGATAATGTTTTTCAGGATTTATTTTAAAAATTGCATATCTTTTTACTGAAGGGTAATGCATTTACCTGTTATACTTATTAGTCTCCTTGATTATTAAAAGGAAAGGACAGAAAGACTCTCTCAACCCCAAAAGGTACAAAAGCAAACTAATATTCATACATCACTTAAAAGGTTGGAGGAGCAAGTGCGTGTATTAATGGCTGAGCGTCAAGAAGTGGAAAAGAAGCAGCGTGCGGAACATGAGGCCCAAGAACTAGCCTATGTGTCCAAGTTACAGCAGTACCAGGCCACCATTGCAGCGCTTGACCAATGCAATCCGACAGTTGTTGAAGAGAACCCCCCATCCAACAAAGGTCAGTACTGGGGTCCTTCGTCATAGGCCAGTCTTTATGTTCGACGCCTGAAATAATCCTTGTTGTTCCTAGTGGTGCTCTGAGGATGATAACTTGATATATCATTGCGTATACCGTGTCATTCTGTGTCTTTCGTGTGATGGAACGTGAACTGAATTTCATGGAAGTAATTAATGGGTAAACCTTATTCTCTCATTCCTCTGTTACAGTCCTTTGGCAATGGATTGTAATGTGTGAAGTTGCATTTATGATTAGGTTTGTGAGTAACCTATCATCATACATGTGTTGGGTGTACCACTTCATTGTTGGTGTTCCATATTTTGCCCCTCCCCACCCTTTGTACTGGGTTTTGTGTGTGTGAATTTGAGACACGGAAATTCGCTTTTGGTTTATCTAAAATCTGATTTGATTTACTGCAACATGATTGAACTGATGACACATAGCCCCTCAGGTCAAAGAGGAGGTATTCAGGCGTTCCTTCTTTGCACAGGTGCCGTCAGAGGAGTTCCAATACCACAAGGAGGCCCTTATTAGTAATGAATCTGTTGTGCAGATGCTGGCAGAACGGTGTCGCACACTGGAGCAGGCCAATAAGAAATTACAGTCTGAGGCGCGGGCACAACAGCAGCAGTATGAAGTGTGTTTAGATCGCGTTGCAACACAGGTCGTCCAAGCTCTCCTCTCGCAGAAGGTAATGAATCTTATGCCTGGAAACTGATTTAGCATTATTCTGCATTTAGTTTTAGGATTCTATTTTAAAAGGTTAGAGTTAAAGGACTAAAATCAGCACTCATGTTAAAAGAAATACTATTGTCATTAGTGAATGACAGAAGTATATCAAGATTCAAAAAATAATTCAGTGAAAGAGTACTGTCATATAATTGTATATAACATTTATTCTTACAAGGATACTGAAAGGTATCTCTCTTCTCTTTTCTCTGCCGCCTCCTCCTTCATCTCTTCTTCCGTTTTATACACCTCATCCTCCTCATCTTTCTTTTTATCTTCCTCCTCCTCATCTTGGTCTTCCTTTTTATCCTCCTCCTCCTGTTCCCTTTCCTCTTCTCTCCTCATCCACTTCCACCACTACCACCACCTCCTCCTCCTCCTCCTCCTCCCCTCCCCTCCCTCCACCTCCCTCCACCACCACCTCCTCCTCTCCTCCTCCCTCCACCTCCTCCTTCCTCCTCCCTCCTCCTCCTCCTCCTCCTCCTCCTCCTTCCTCCTCCTCCTCCACCACCACCACCTCCTCCTCCTCCACCACCTCCTCTTCCACCACCTCCTCCTCCTCCTCCTCCTCTCCTCCTCCTCCTCCTCCTCCTCCTCCTCCTCCTCCTCCTCCTCCTCCACCACCTCCTCTCCTCCTCCTCCTCCACCAACCTCTTCCTCTCCTCCACCTCCTCCTCCTCCTCCTCCTCCTCCTCCTCCTCTCCTCTCCTCCTCCTCCTCCTCCTCCTCCTCCTCTCCTCCTCCTCCTCCTCTGCCTCCTCCTTATCCTCTTTCTCCTCCTCCTTCTTATTCTTATTCTTTTCTTTTCTTTTTTTCCCCCTTCTCCCTTCCCCCTTTCCCAATCCCCTTTCCTCCCTCCTCCTCAGTCCATTTTTCCTGTTCTTTGCCATTCCCCCCCCCCCCTGTAAAGAGAGACACAAAATTATTACTCCTATGATGTAAAGAAAAATGAGATATTAATATTCTCATCAACCCATTCTTACTGTAGCCAAAGAAACGCTAATAGTACCTACCCCTTCCACACCTGACACCTGACATCCTCTCTCTCCACGACAGTCACACCAAGAGCAGTGTGTTAAATTGGCCAACCAGGTCCAGGCCCTCAGACGGCAGAATGCAGCCCTCTCCTCATTGGTTGGCCACGGGTCCTCCCCACAGACCCTGCCCTGCTCCTACCGGCATGGCTGTGGGCCCCATGCAGACCCCCCTACCTTCCTCAGTCTCCCTACATCATTCACAAAGAACAGACAGGTAAGTTTTTTTATTTGTGTTTTGTTATTTTAGTCTCTTTTTACCTTATGGGTTTATAAGGAAATTGGTATCTGGGAATGGGATAGAATTTTTTTTCTTTCTCTTTTTGTGAGAAAGCCTTCAGGGACAAGACTAAAGATGTGCAGGGTTTCAAAAGGGATTTCAAATGATATCTGAAATGTAGTTGATAGATATGACATGCATGTTCTTGAGTGAATTTTTATTACTATTTTTTTTTTAGAATTATGGTTTTATGAGAAAGTAGTTGTAGATTTCATTTATTTTTTTCAATCCTCCCAAGGCTGCTTTACTTAACCTTTCTCTCTCTCTGTAAAACAAAAAACATACAAAAATTACACACATGCAATAATTAAACTGTTTGAGATTATAAAGCATTTTAGAAGCCTCCTTGATTTGTTTGATATGTGTATGGTTATCATTAATTAATTATTGAATAACTATGACACTATTTACTGATATTAGTCTGGAGTTATCTAGTTAACGTAAGACCAAATTAACGTGCTTTTGACCCCAGGCAAGGAGGCGACTAGCAGGTGCAAAGCGAGGGAAGAAACGAGGCAAAAAGGTTGCTAGGGTTGGTAGGCTTGTTGCAACAGTTGCTGAGACAAAGTTTTGCAATGCTGTTTTCTTTTCCTTTTTTAATGGTGGGAGCATGAGCACACTCACGCTTGATGGGTCAGAGCATGGATGAATGAGGTTGTAGGTCCCGGTCGAGGTCGTATGGTTTCTGGTGGGTGTTAAGGTTGGGGATTGGCGTTTCATCTTGTTGGTCATAGTTGTATCTTATTTGTGATGGTTATGATTATATAATTGAAATCATTTTTTATTCTAATTTTCTTAGTAGTTATTATCAAAGATATAATGGCAAACATTAGATAGTTACTTTATTTTCCTGATTTCCTGTTAATTATGTATCTTGGACTATATGAAGTTTTTAGTAAAATGATCTGACTCAGTTTTGATATCTAGGAATGGAAATGACACACCTTTCAGCTAAGAAAGACATCATTCTTTTTTTAATTTCTCTACATTTGTAATTTCAGATTTTCTCTCTCTCTCTTTCTCGCTCTCTCCTGCCCTCTCACCTGCTCTATCCTCTCTCCTGTCCTCTCCTCTCTCCTTCCCTTCTGTCCCCCCTCTCCCCTCCTCCTCCTCTCTCCCTCCCTCCCTCCTCCCATACTCCCTCCTCCTCCCATTTATCCCCTCCTCCCTCCTTCCTCTTTCCTCTTACCTCTCTCTCTCTCTCCTCCTCTCTCCTTCCCTTCTTTCCCCCTCTCCCCTCCTCCTCCTCTCTCCCTCCCTCCCTCTCCCATACCTCCCCCTCCTCCTCCCATTCACCACCCTCCTCCCTCCTTCCTCTTTCCTCTTACCTCTCCCTCTCTCCTCTCTATCTCTCCTTCCTTCCCTTCTTTCCAGCTTTTCCTCATCTTTTTTGTCCGTATTTTGTTTGCCGAAAGAATGGATAAGTGGATACATTTTGGGATAAGTTCTGTTCACAGAGAAAGAAAGATGGTTAGCTGGATTTGTTGTAGGAGATATTGTATATATGTTTCTTTTACAGATGGAAAGGTCTTTGGTTAGGTAGTATTTCTCCTTTATTGTGTTTGTGCCTGATTGTGTCTGTGTCTATCTATCCGTCAATTTACTTTTTTGTCTTTGACTTGGTGTTTTACAACTTCATATGAGGATGAATATAGTTCTTCTGAAAACTTTCTAAATGTCTCATTTACTTCGTACACTTATACTCACACTCTGCACGAGCTAAACCTTTTATTTTGGGTTCATTTCCTTTTCATGAAGCTGCGATTTCCTGGCAGATTTTGTTACTTTGGCTGAGGCAAATTCTCAGAAATGCAGTTTTTGGATTGCTTTATTTTCTCTTTGCACAGTGCCATATTTTCTCCTCATTATGCTCTTCTTTTCATTTTTTTGGTTGATATGTTTAAAGCTTGCTTTGTTTTCTCTCTCTAATGCCACCTTTGTTTCTATCTTTCAAACAATCTTTGTTGCTCTCCTCGTTCTATGGAGGTTGAAAACATTGATCGAAATGGACTCATAGTTACTTGACTCATCATACAAAATTCTTCCTCTCTGTGTTTTCTTTTTTTTCCCTATCATTTGACAAAGTTCTAGGTTAAAGAATGTATGGCATCTTTGAATTGACCCTTCTGGAATGGATATTATATTCATAGACAAATGAGACATTTCTTTCTCTTTGCCCCATGTATATATTTCACTTTTTGTTGGGAGATTGTAATTGCCGTATGTTAAGAGTACAGATACTACATTTTACCCAGTTTCAGATAGAGACCTTTGCTTTAAGAAAATGTTAAATGCAACTCCTTAGGGCCTGGATTTGTTTTATTTAGTCTTTATCATTTGTAGTTAAAGATTAGAAGAGTTACAAGTTGTAAGTAATTATTTAAAGGAAGGCAGTAGTATCTTAAATGTATTTGAGTGTCTATGGCCATTAGTAGTGGATGGTCTCTCAAGATCGGCATCTTAACAGAGGCTGGCGAGTTATTTTTAGAGATGTTAAGCTAACCATTAAAATTGTTTTTATTTATCTTCATTTATTTATTGTGTAGAAAGAATTGTAAAAATGATAAAGCAATTCAGATTTTTATGTAAAGTGGAACAGCATTAGAGTAGAGATTTGATTAATCAACAATGTTTTATGAACTTGAAAATATGATGAGGAATGATACAGGCTTAAATAGGAATAGATAATCTCTTTCACTTCAGTGTTTGTTGTTGTTTTTTGTTTTTTTTTTACATTTCTTTTCTCTTTTGCAACAGCCTGAGCAGTGGCCGCCTGGTGGATGGGTAGCCTCTTGGCACGTGGAAGAGAGCAGCAGAAGTCATCTGAGTGACAATGCCTCCTCCCAGAATCGCTTCCATTCGAGCTTACAGTTACTCTCTGAGACTAGTCTCCAGCCTAGGCTCTCCCTCTCGGACCATAACACCACTTCAAGCAGTGCACAAATGGGTGAGGACTGCTACACCCCTCAGGAAAGAACATCCTGTACCTCAGCTGCCAATTCCTCTACTAATACTGCAACAACAACGTGTTGGTATGACATCATAACTTCTTTGAGCTTAACAACAACTTCTCAGACAGCAGCTGTCAGGAGTGCTCAGGGTCACACAGCCACTGCAAGATCTCATGATACCAACAACATATGGCATCAACAAGACCCCTTGCTTAGCAGCACTGGGAGAAACAGCAGCAGCAGTAGCAGCAGTAGCACAGACTGTCCCCTCCAGGCCCACTACCACCAGAAATCAGGTGGGCACCAGACCAACATAGCGGATTCCCCTGGTGGGTCTGGGAACCTGGAGGACATGGGTACCTCTCTAGCACCCAGAGGAGAAAGTGGCATGCAAAAGTTTTCTCCTTTGTCACTGGAATCGGCAGTCACTAGCACAAGCAGTTCCCCAGAGCAGAAGAACTGTCATGTGTCTCAGTCAACAATGGACAACCTTGACTTGAAGGACTCAAAGGTGAAAGTTCTTGAAAATAAGGAAATATTAAATCATACCTCAAGTGAAATCAATGCAAACCTCCTTGTTAATAATGTAAGTAAAGATGAAATTAGCAACATACTTCAAGTGAAAGGGGAATTATTAAAGACGTTAACAGAGGCAACCAATAAACAGTATCCAATTGATTTAGCAGTATTCACATGTGAGGACAAAAGCAAGGGTGCATTAAATAAGAACTTGGCCAAAGTTAGTTCTAAGGTTAGTAATAGTGAAAGGACCAATAGTAATGATGGCAGCACAGCAGAGGAAGGTGCAGAAGTAACCACCAAGGACGAGGGTTACTCCACCATGTCCAGTGACGTTCAGGCAGAGGTTAAGGAAAGTGTAACTATTAGTTCTGTGACAACTGTGCAAGAAGAACCTCTGACACTTTAGACCTCCCTGTCTGTTCTGAGTCAGTGAGAGCGGTAGTCAGGAGACTGCCAGCGTTGTGGGTGACATGTCCTTAAGTAAAGGGTCTAGTAACAAGAGTGAAAATGATTCAACAGACAAAATTAGTGTTAAGGAGAGAAAGGTATCCAATACAAATAATGAGTACTGTGATGGTCTTCGTGTTATATATGATGAAGAAGACAACAATTCAGATGTATTTTTTATACCAATTCAAGAACCAGAAAATGAGAGCTTGTATAGACATAGTTATCATGTACCATCTAATACGGAACCGAGATTGCCAGCTCGATGGTACTCGGATTCCCAGCTCTACAAAGAAAGGAGAAATGCTCAAGGTCATAAAATTGTTGCTAGTCTTGATAGACATGTGTCCGTAAAAGATCTCGCAGAGAGGACTGCCTCCACTGCTGAAGTGTTGGAAGAAGCCTGCAATACGAGGAGCTTGAAAAGATCCTCAGCGCAGGCAAGTCTCAAGAGAGCTAATCTTCGTAAAAGAGAAGAACAACCTACCTCAGGCAGCAGTGAAGAACTGTGGCCACTGGAGGAGGACCACAGAAAGTATCTCTCTCCTACCTACAGCCATGCTGAGCTAGAGGACTGGTCACTGGACTTGTCATCAGAATATCTGAGTGGTGCATGTGGGGAGGGCGAAGGGAGTGAGAGTGTGGGTACGAGTGGGGCCCACCATGGATCTCTGCCGTCCATCCAGGAAGCCACGCCCGAACTTGAGGAGGACAATAACGAGTTCCTCTGGAATGGTGCTACATACTTTAAAACTGATTTAGATTTAGACTGGTCAAGTAAAAAGGAAATGACCAAAAGCTGGCAGTTGGATCATGCGAAGGAGAATCAGATAGTAATGTCTCCTCGATCTGGGTGCTCTGACCAGCCTGCAGTGTGGTCTAGCAGTGAGCAGCTTTCATGCTGCTCTGAAGGGGTTTCAAAGTGCAGTTCTGATTTTGAAAATTTCTGTGAACAAATATGTAACTTGCCTGAACTGAAAAGGGTATCCTTTTGCAGTAGTGAGTTAGGGGGCCAGGAAGCCTCTAAAGGTGCCAGCCACGACACCTCGAGTGCGGGCGAACATGAAGAAGAACTCGCAGATGAAATGTGTATTGATACTGTTTTTACTAGAGATTTTTACCGCCTTGTTAAGTTTGAAAGCAACCGAAGTCTTGCAGCCTCATCTAAAAGTCTGGCCACTTCTGATGGACTCCTCACTATAGAGAGACTGCAAGACTTGGAATCTAGTGGATCACGCAAAGAGGCATTAGCTTCTGTCCTTGGTTTTATTGCAGAACAGCAAAAGTACTGTAAGGAGAGAGAAGCTCAGGATGAGAAAGTTGGCAGTAGTCACTCTAGAGATATGTTGAAGATTGCCAATGCTATTGAATGTGCTGGATCTCCTTTAGCCTCTGTTCTCTTCAGGGGGACATTTCCAAAGTCTGCACTACGTGAAGGTACCGGTGACCAAAAGAAAGCCTCAGAGGATTTCTCCATGAGGACTCTGCCCACAAAATCTTGGAAGCAAAGTAACTCGGTGAAGAGTAAAGTCGGTCCAGCTGTTCCTGCCAAACCCAGGTCATGTTACCTTCAGGGAGGTCAACCTGGAGCTGCTACCTCTAATGTCTTACCTACAACTCCTGCCAGATGTCACCCTGCAGCCGCATCCTCGTCCCTTCCAGCTGCATCAGCTGAATTGCCACCTGCTTCCCTCCCAGTCTTGCCGGCCACATCTCACCCACACCCCTCTGTGCCTTCCCGGTCATCTAGTTTGGCCCCTCTCCAAGCCATACCTGCTTGTGAAGAGGAAGTTCCTCTCTCTCCTATCCCTACGGTGCCCATCAGGAATGCCTCGCACCCTCCTGATACAGACTCAATTCCAGAGCAGCAGATTTATTGTACGCCTTGTCCTGAAGTACCTCATCACAACCCTCCAGTACCTGACCACAATTGTGTGGACATGTCTTGTTTCCCCCCGGTGCCCCGTCGCTCATCCAGTATGGCTTTCTGTTGCAATGTCTTACCTGTACCCGAGCACAAGGTGTCCCTGAATGACCCCCCACCTGTGCCCAAGCGCATAACAAGCCGAGCCCTACCCAAGCCTCCACCTGTGATAACCAGCCAGGCATCATTAAACAATGCCAATGGCACGAGCAAGAGCAGTGGTCACGAGGGTAAGCGACCTCGGAGCTTCCTAGGACTGGGAATTTCCAGCCCTAAGAGACCCCAGAGTGAACATCATGAACTGCCCAGCCTGAGTGAAAACCCAGCAGGCATGCTGGTAGAGTTGCAGCGAATGGCCAAAGTGGAGGAGGAGGAAGAGGAGAAGAGACAGAGACCAAGACCTGGAGGCCTCTATGAAGCCACAAGTCCTGGTGGGTCTGTGGGCCTCGGTACTGGTTGGGTCAGGGTCCAGCCGCATGTCGATTTGCAAGACCCTCAGGTAGGTTGCTGTTGTTCCGTAAAAGAAACAAAAAAATTGAATTTTAAAAATTGGACTACCTTCTGCTGGAAATAAAATTATTCCCATATATATTTATTTTTTCTTTTTCATATAGAATCGAAAGATGAAATATCACTATCGCCAATCTTCTAATGAGTTATCTGTTTTCAGGCTCGAGCTAATCTGTTAGATGGAATGATGGAGTCAAGTGAGGGCTGCAGCTCAGAGACAGAGGACGATGAGGGCATGGCACACCAGTATGCACAGCTCAGGTCTATGCATCGCAGTAGACGTAAACGCAAAGGTGAGCGTTGTTGATGGATTTTTTTTCTGTTTTTTGTTAATTATAGGCATTGAAATAAAAGTGGTGCAGATGCATTTTTTTATTCTCTTTCTATTAGGGAAGGTTCTTGATCTGAAGCATTGAGCTTGCAAATAGTGGAAGCTCTATATCACCCTTATTTCCATATTGATAAAGCTAAGTGCTCTAACTTATAAAGACTGGGCCTCTATATCAGTCTTCTTATAAGATACAATTGGAAAAAAGTTCACAACTGAAGATATGAAGCTATTCCGGTTATACATGACATATATTAATTCATGTAACTTACGGCCTTTGTCAACATCACAAGAAATTTTCATCTTCTACAGTGGAATAAAAGAAATAGTAAACTTTGGCATCAAAGAATTTGTAATTCTAGTCAAGAACAGGTATTTTTGTATGTTAGGCAGGAATCTAGCATTATTGACATGAAACATGAGGGGAATTATGGAAAATCAATAAACAATTAGACAATTACTTTCAGACAAAAAAGTTGGAACATTTATATGTAGAAGCTTGTAACTAACTACAGTTTTTTATACAATAAGATTAGTGTTAGAGTTTGTTATGCCAACAAAAGATCTGAATAGAAGTACTGAACTAAGACTTAAAAAGATTTAGCTAGACGTGAAATGTTATATCACTAGTAGAATGAGTGGGGATTCCTTATGAAAAAATGACTCTTTGCAGGTTGTAAATAGTTGTACATAATTTTGCCATGTTGAGAAGTGACTTTCCACAATAAATAGTGTTTTGAGCAATGATGAGCCTCTTTGGCCTAGCATAAAGTTCCTATTTAAGATCCAAGGAATTGGATACCATCTCCCCTTAAGGACAGTACTGTTAGTAACTTCCTCTTTGCACATCCCCTCCCCGTCTTGCCCAACTTCCTCTCTCCAGTAGATGAGAAAGCTGTCGCACCATCTTCATGGACATTCGTTGATTATCTCCTGCATATAAACACTTTATTTGCACTAGGGAAAGGTTATTTCTACAACATTAGAGCAAAATTATCATGAATCTTTTTTCTTTCTTTTTTTAATGTGTGACTGGGACTGCTGAATTACAGTGTCCTTTCTTTTTCTTTTTTTCCATTTTTTATAGTTGATATTTGCAACTGTTTTCTTATATACCATTAAAAATGTAAACAAAATAATTTCCAGTTTGATTTGTAACTTTTTGCTGTGAATTAATGTAGATGTCTTCTTTTTCACTGTTACTAATATCTTATTGGTATATTGTTAGTCTGTCACTGCCTAATGAGTGATTTAAGAAAAGAGAAACTAAATAAACATTGAAGAGAAGCAAAATATGCATATTTTTTCAAGTGATAGTATTTTCCAATTAACCTTTGAGTACATTAAAGTCATGCCTGTTGATGGTGGTTGAATTGTCAGTATCTTACATGTCACGTTGGTTAGCAGTAACTGTTACCAGACTCATTCAGGTAGACAAATGTACACACTCCACTAATACGACTCTTCACGTGTTGTTACCTCACCGCAGGGCTCGGCCAGGGTCAATGGTATGATTCTCCTCTGATACAAGTATAACCCATTGCATGCAACATGGAAGACTTTTTTTCCTCCCTTTTGTTTGCTTCTAACATTGTTTCTTGTACAGTATATACACACAGATCTGGGTGTGTGTGTGCGGGGGATTGTTGCTGGTTTTATGATTATTATTTATTGTTGATGTTGTTATTTATTTTTATTGTTATTGTTATTATTATTATTATTATTATTATTATTATTATTATTATTATTGTTGTTGTTATTATTATTATCATAATTATTATTATTATTATTATTATTATTATTATTATTATCATTATTATTATTGTTATTATTGCTATGAACTATGATAAACACTCACACATATGCATATGCACACTCACGTTTACACTTACACCTACTCACAACTCACTCACTCACTCACTCATCATTCATTCATTCATTCATTCATTCATTCATCATTCATTCATTCATTCATTCATTCATCATTCACACACACACACACACACACACACACACACACACACACACACACACACACACACACACACACACACACACACACACACACACACACACACACACACACACACACACACACACAGATACACACAGAGGTTTATTACTATCATTTTTATGATATATACAAAGAATAATACCCACTTTATATTATAGTTGTATAGACTTTTTATTGGGTACAGTTGCTTATGAACAAGCAATTTGGTCATTTTTTTTTTAATTGCTTCGGTAAATGTGTAATGCCTTGTTATTGTATATCGTAAGAAAGATTACTTGCTTTTCTATTGTATTGCCATCATTATTTTTGGTATTGTTGTTATCATTATTATGATTTTTAGTATAATAATTATTATTATTGTTATTTGTTTTCATTGTTATTGCTGTAATTTATTTATGTTTGAATTTATTTATTGCTCCTGTACAAATAAGATGCTTTATAATTAAGGGCTACAGGAAATTACTGGATTTTCATTAAATTTTCCATCACTATTTTAGCAGTGTATATTAATACAAACAGTATATACACATACTTTATTAAAGTTGTTTGTTGTAAAAGTATCATTGGCCATGCAGTATGCAATAATTTTTCTCTGTAAATGCGTGAACTTACAAGCACAGGAGTATTTTGATTTTGAATTGTCGATGGCTTGCAACTAATCATTAAAAGAGAGGCAGATGTTATGGACAGTATTGTTGTCGTTATTTAAAAAAAAAAAAAAAAAAAAAAATGCACGAACTCACACTTTCAAATTTGCTTGGATTTAAGGGGGAAGAAATGTTTTTGGCTGAATACCGGTATGGCTTCAAATGATGACATCAGTGGGTGACTGCTAGGTAACCTGTGCTGCGTTATGTCAATTGTCAACGACTACGTAGTTCTGTTCCCTATCTCTCTCTCTCTCTCTCTCTCTCTCTCTCTCTCTCTCTCTCTCTCTCTCTCTCTCTCTCCTCTCTCTCTCTCTCTCTCTCTCTCTCTCTCTCTCTCTTCCCTCCCTCCCCTCTCCCCTCTCTCTCCCTCTTCTCCCCCCTCCCCTCTCCCTCCCGCTCTCCCCCTCCCCCTCCGCTCCTCTCTCCTCCCTCTCCCCTCTCCCTCCCCCTCTCCCCTCTCCTCCCCTCTCCTCCTCCCCTCTCTCTCCCCCTCCCATCTCTCTCCCTCTCCCCTCTCTCTCCCTCCCCCTCTCTCTCGCCTCCCCCTCTCTCTCCCTCCCCCTCTCTCCCTCTTCCCTCTCTCTCCTCTCCATCTCCCTCTCCATCTCTCTCTCTCTCCCTCTCTCTCTCTCTCTCTCTCTCTCTCCCTCTCTCTCTCCCTCTCTCTCTCTCTTCTCTCTCTCTCTCCCTCCCTCTTCTCTCTCCTCCTCTACCGCCTTCTCACGCTCGCCTCCGACCGTGCCACGCTCCGCTCCGACTCTCTTCTCTCTACGCCCGCCGCCGCCTCGT